GAGGAACATACACAAAAAATTTGAGCAAAAAATACCATCGGGAAGACCCCCAAAAGGAGGAGGCCGGACGGCGGCTCCGGTCAGGTATACCTGACCGGAAGATTACTCTATATATATATATATATATATATATATATATATATATATATATATATATATATATATATATATAAGTCAAGTAGTCGGCCCGTAGGCCCATGTTTGCTTTGAAAACGCCCAACCCTTTCCTTCGTGGCTTCAAGCCACGCTCATCTATATTATTTCGTCATGCTAGAGGCTTCCTCTAGTCATATTTTATCGTGTTGGAGGCTTACTCTAGTCACTTCACTTGGTGTTATAGGCTACCTCTAATCATCTTACATACGTTGTGCTAAAGGCTTCCTCTAGTCACCTTACGTTATGCTAGAGGCTTCCTCTAGTCATCTCTCATTATGCTAGAGGCTTTCTCTAGTCATCATACATTATGCTAGAGGCTTACTCTAGTCATATTATTAAATCACTAAGCAAACTCTATGCCTAGAGTCACTTTATTATGAGTAGCCTTTGAGGCCTACTCCTAACATAACTTAACGTTTACATATTTCTACCTTAAAGTATCTCATAAGACTACTTAAGGTACATCTCTCACAATCCAAACCCTTATGATGTGTTCTATAACTTTTCATACTAACATCCCGACTAATATTTCAATACTAGACAATTTAATCTTAGGACAATCAAGTTCCCAATCCATAGTCATAAAGTTCATTCCAATTGATTTTCCAATCCAAAAACAATTTAATCACAATACCAACAATATCAATTTTATCCATTCATGAATTCTCTACATGAAGTAAAAGTATACTTTGTCTCAATGTCCATAGTTAATCCAACTATCATGCCTTCATATGCATATCGCATAATCATGCACAATTTATCTCATAGATTTGTATATCGTGCTTCACTTACTTATAAATCATTCTTTTCACATAGGCATTATTAATCATTTAATAATTAATCCATGAAAAACTCATTTAATAATCTTAGGTAATCTTATGAAATTAACCCAACAATTATAAGCAATATAGTCAGTCATCCCCACCTTATGAAGTGCTGAAATAGTCGCCTTTGTTAAGCCCTTCAATCAATCCCCGTTCTAAACCATTTGAAAGCTAAAACTGGACTGCCTGGAAAAAAGCCGGCCGGCTTTGGCAAAAGCCGGGCGATGTTCGTGGTCTGCTACCGCGGGAAGCTCTTTTCCAGTGGTGGTTTCCGGCGATTTCGACTCCTATCGATTCCACAACTCTTCTAAGTTAATTACTACCACTTTATATCAATATTCTACACTTTTAAACGTGTAGAACTTCATATATAATCTATCATATGTGATGGAGTTTAATCCAACTACGAGAGCTAAGATACGTAGATATGAGAATAATATGGTAGCGTAAGGCAGTTTTACTCTTTATTCCGGAGAACTAGCAATAGTCTAGCCTCGGTTCAGAAATTTATCGGGGGGTCCAATCCCTTGGTAGGGTGTTTACATCAAGTATTTATAGAGATTAGGAAGTAGAATTATGGGAGGAATCTAATACAATAAATGCTCAATTAATGAACTATATTCTTGCACGAAATAGAACTCTTCGATGCTTGATTCCCACACGATCGCTTTCCCTTTTAGTCACCGTCCTACGGATGAGTTCTGCCTGTTGCCAAATATCTATCAACGAGTGATAGCTCGCCCGTAAGCCCTAGGAATATCCCGGCCTCACTGGAACTCCGCCCAGGCTCGAGGTCTGCTGTCCTTCCCGGCCTAGTGGTGGGTTCCTATCGTGGGCCTAATTCCTAATGTGCTAAGCGGCTTTCAACCATGAATCCCGTTTATGGGCTAATCCTGTAATTAGGCTAATCCCTTTAAGGGCTGATCCCATTTATGGGCTAATCCTGTAATTAGGCTAATCCCTTTAAGGGCTGATCCCATTTGTGGGCTAAATCCTGTAATGAGACTGGTCCCGTTAAGGGCCGATCCCGTTTATGGGCTGGACTACGTAATTGGGACATGGTCTTAATCCATGGTACCATCATTATGATTTCTTAAAAATCATACAACAAAATACTAGTTAAAAGGTGTTTGTTGAGTTCTTACCTCCAACACAACTCCTTTCCTCTTGGGTTTCCCTTCCTCTTGCTTCCTCTAAGCTCCTTGTTGGTGAGAGCTATTTCCAAAGCCTCTCCACCTTTGGTTTGGTCGTATGGTGTGGGAAAGAGAGGAGAAGATGCCTTCTCAATCAAATGGCAAAATAATGCCAAAGACAAGACATGGTGTGTGGTTTTGTCTTGAGCCATCCCCCTCTCCCTAATAATCCGCCCCTTAGCTATTTTGTTGTCTCCTCCCCATTATTTTGAGAGTTATTTGACTGATAGGATACCCCAAGTGGGTGTAGAAAGTCTCTCTCAATTATTCCTGCTATTTTTGGCAGGTTGGGCCAAAACAGCACTCGGGTTGTCCAAATATTTTTTATCAACTTTAGTTGGCACTTTATTGGGCTTCTATAATTATTACGATGACCCAACTAAAGATTTGGTAGCCCATTCTCATTATCATGGACCCGATAAATAATTTAATTAATCACGCATTAATTAAATATACCAATGTGTTACACGATTTTATTCGCTAGGAAATTCAAATACATTTCTTTTTGGATGAAAAAAGACTTATTTAAACAGCATGGCTGAAATGTTATACTACCAATGATTGCCAATTATTTAAACAACATGACTAACAATTTTTATTATTCACTCATTATTGTTCTCATCCTTAAATATTTGTTTACCAATGATTTTGCATATAAGAAATTCCACATTATAAAAAAAATGTTTTTTATTATACCAATTTTTGTTCATTTTGCAGAAAACCACATATAACTTTGAAGAAGTTGAAGAGAAGTTATGCCTAAAAAAGCCAGGAATGCTTTTTTAGGGTAATTTTTTTTATCCTTTTTTACTCACATCACCAAAAAAAGTAAATACTAAATTTTAAGAACATGATATTAAAAGAATGGCTGAAAAGCTATACCAAATTTTAATATCTGCCATTCATGTGACCTTTGAGTTATTTTTGTCAAAACACATGCATATAGTTGTAAAGATAAGTTTGTTTTTATCATAAAGCATAAATTAATAAACAACGAAACCTTTCAAGATTACCATTATCATCAATAACCATCATATATACTTGCTTAAAAGTGAAATCCTTCACTTACTACAACTTTTAAGAAAACATGCCAACTTGTAAACATTAAACAATGTTTTTTTCACACGATCTACACTATCTGACGGACCCGAAATGTTGTGTACTTTGATCACACTAGACTGTCCCCCCAGGAAGTTCTTTATAAAATCAAAGTGGATGTGTATAGGATTCTGTTTAGCCTTTATCCCAACCCCACTATTGATTTTTTATTTTTTCTCTCTCTTAGCCCCTGTTTTGGCTTGAATTGTTACTGTTGTTTGATGGTGCTACCCTCTACTTGGTAGTTTGGCTTCTTTGAATGTTTGTTGGTCACGTAGATGCGCAGCTGCAGGTACTGGGGCCTGTCCCGGCCTGTTTGGTCTTTGCGGTTTAAGCATTTTCTTGCCTTTTCCCACTTTTGATTTTCCTTTGTTCAGGAGAATGCCCCGGTGAATTTGTATACAAATTTTTGGATGAGTTCAACATGTACATTTTACCCGTAAACCATGTTTTTTCGTATTTAAAATAAAACAATTTATTTGACATTTTCATTATTTATTCTTAATTCACAACATTTCCAAGATAATTTTATATTTTTTTCATAAAAGTATACATTAAAAAAAATCGCAAAATATTTTAGACCAGTGTTAGTATTACACACTAATAAACTACTTCAGTTACAATTTTTATATCTAAATCCACATTGACATACTTTTGAAATTACACAACTGCATACCAAATAAATTCCTACTTATAATATCATAATTCAAACATGATATCTACTCCAAGCTAAGAGTTGGATAATAGTGTGTGTGCAGTTAGAAATTTTAAAATACATATAAGCTATGCTGGCCAAACACCTTAAAGTATAAAGTATGTTGGCCAATATTTATGTCTTATTTTGGAATAAAGTAGTGTGTCCAAATACTTTGTATAAATCTATTCTCATCCTTAAGAAAGTGGAATATTCATACCTTTTAAAACATACAACAGTGGGTTTAGCTAAAAACATTTCATTTACAACAAAGTAGTAAAAATGTATTTACCGTAAGCATAGTTTGACAAAGATCCTCTCTTTGGACCTACTGTTGTAGATTTATACAGCCTAGGCATGGTTATCGACTCAACCTCAACACGGTTTTCCCTTTATCTGGAACTCCGAATGAGAATGAAAGATAACATTAATTTTTGTATATAGAAAGATTAAGAATAAAAGAACTGCAAAACAATATATCCCAAAAAATGAACATCATTTCATAATACCAGAATAACAAAACATAATCCACATAAACAGTGAGGTGAAAGGAACATAAAAGATAGGAGTTTTAAACTTTAACAATTTACATATATAAGCCAAACACTAGTTATGCAAAATATGGCTCATAAACATCACCCCACTCTTACAGACACCCCATCATCTTATCATCCACATTCTTTTTCATTTCATATCCTCCCTAACCAGCCAAAGAAAGTTCATTGTCACCAACACCTCCCCAGCAAAATACCTTTGATTCAGCGTTTTCTTTCGGGGGGACCGCCTAGGAGTCAGTGAGCCTACTCCCACCTCACCAGGTTCAACCATAACCTCCATAGGTGTGTGCTGGTTGTCAGCCATTGAAACCATCTCAGCTCCCTCTTGAGATGTCAATGGCTGCAAACCAGGGATCACAACATCAAGGTTCACAACCTCTTCCTTGACCTGAGTTGGAAATGGCGGAAAATCCTCCATTTGAACAACTTCTTCCTCCACAATATCAGGGTTCACCACCTCCTCCTTGATCTGAGCTAGAAATGGCGGAAAATCCTCCATTTGAACAGCTTCTTCCTTCACATGAAGTTGAAATGGCGGATTATCCGTCATTTCAACTTCACGTTTGATTTCGGGAACCATCCCATATGAGTCAAGCTTTTCCATTCTATTAATATGACCCACACATTCCTCACACAACCACTTAAAATTTGGATCAAAGGACACTTCATACAAACAGTACCGATGGGCTGCATTTGAGCATTCTGTACACTTCACAATCAGATAACCCCATTCATTACTCTTACAGACACCACAGATCATATTTGGTTGGATTGTTTTCCCCGTGTTCCTCCACCTATCATTTAAAAATGAAATGCATTATTATCTTTCATGAAAAATAGCAAGTATGAGTTAGGTTTTGCAGCAACTATAGTTGAAGGAAAAGTAGCATGCATGCATTAAGAAAAGTAGTATACGTGCATGAGGTTTTAAGGAAAAAACAAGTTGTTTTAAAAACTTGAATTCTTAAGGTGTTTTTCATAATAAATGCTCAATTGTATGCCCATAAGAAATCCTTAGAAGAGGTGGATGTTTGAGAAAACATGAACTTTTTCAGGTAGTTATCATACTGAGTAATAAATACTTAGCCAATTGGGTGTTTCAGAAAAAACATGAACATTTTAATGTTGTTAAAATATTAAATGATGATCTGTTTTCTTTAAAGTAACTAGTACTGCACCCGTGCGTTGCACGGAGTGTGAGTTTGAAGATGGATAAAACCATCGTGTTCCATAAAATTTAATTGGTTATAAAGTTAAATATCATACATTATGCAACAAAGAACAAAAAGTGTAATATGTAAGTTTGATGTATAGCACATGTGCGATGCACGGTGCGTGAGTTGATATATAAAATATAATTAGTATTTAATGTTAACATGTATCTAAATTCAAAGCATCTCATCCTTCAAATAAAGATTGATACGCTGAATTGGGCTTATAGATTGACCAAAATCAAAAGAAGGAAGGTTGAAGGTTTTCTTATTCAAGAGCAACTACTTCCAGTCAATTTCAAATTCAATACTCTAGGGATGCAGATTATCAAGTGGAAAAGGCTAAATTAAAGCTTTAAACTAAATGTAGATGCATCGTTTATACCTGGGATGGCGACATGTGGAGCTATACTTAGGAATCGATCTGGTGAATTGATCTGAGCTGTTTGCTTCCATGTCCATGCGAGTTCTAGTGAGGAAACTGAATTGAATGCTCTGATGTTTGCTACTGCGATGGCGCTGGAGGACAGGTTTGGTGATAATTAAGTGGAGACTGATGCTACTCAATCGTTGACTATCATCAGAGACGATTCAGGAAACTATGCTAGGGTTCGAAATTTCAGAAAGAAGGCGACTCGGAAGGGCTGTTCATTTGGACATGTTTTCAGATAAGGAAATGGGACGGCCCATTTCCTGGCGGGTCAGTGATATACTTCGGTCCAAATAGTTTTGTTTGATTGGGTTGGACATCTACCTAAAGAGGATAAGAAGAGCTATTACGCTGATCTTGTTTTCTCGGTTTCCATGTATTTTTAGAGGTCTCGGTTTCCATGTATTTTTAGAGGTATGAATTTGAGAGAGGTTTTGGTCTGCCCCCCCCCCCCCCCCCCCAAATTCATTTCTTATGTACTTTTATTTGAATTTCAATAAAACTCTGGCAAACGCTCCCCGGTGTTTGCCCCACTGATTTTAGTAGTATGCCTTCTGGGTGTAAATAAAAGTATCCATATGGTAAGAAAGTCAAATGATAATTAATGATATAAAAAAATGTAATAATGAGACCACATAGTAATATTACAAAATCAAACATACAATAATTACATTCAAGCCTCAGTCACAATTTTTTTATGATCGTTAATATGAATTGATAGATGATATCAGAGTAAAAAGAAGAGAAAGATAAAAGGATAAAGTATGATAAAAAAAACATACCATAAAAGATAAGATAAAATGGAGAAGACATAAATAAAAATGATAAGATAAAAAAGATGAAAAGAACAAACACACACATAAACACACACGCACACACAGGAAGGTTGAAATAGAAAGTAGTCCTTATATAAATAAAAAATAAGAAGTAATTTAAAACATTAAAAAGAAAAATAAATGGATCAGATTAAATTTAAGCGAAAAAATGCAGTGGAAAAGGTGTAAATAATAGGAACTTTATTGAAAAATAAATTGAGAAATGTGCATGACTATGGAAAAAAGCGCATCTAGCTAAAACAAAAATACATCTTGAATCGAAATAAAATAAGAATTATAAAAAATTGATTTGTAACTTTTAAATGAAGTAAATGTGCATCTTTAAATATCGTATATGCACTTTTGCTATTAAGTATTGTTAGTACCCAATTTTGATAGATTTTGATGATGCCACTGTACTAAGCTCATGTATGATTCGAGTTCCTATTTTAGTGACCATGTCAAAAGTTGATTGATGCACTAAAAAGAAAAGAGTACACTGTCAACTACTCAGAAGTGACAAATTAATAATGTACAATTTTTGTACCAAATAAAATTTTTACTGGAAATAAAAAATGCAATAGGGTAAATTTTATTTATCTTAAAAGGATATTTAAATTCTACCAGTATAACTTTATTTGATACATAAATTAAGCAGTCACAAAAGTACACTATCAAAAGTGACAAAATAAAATGTACAATTTTTATACCAAATAAATTGCACTGGAAATTTAAAATGCAATAAGGTAATTTTTTTTTTACCTTAATAGGACATTTAAAATCCTACCAGTACAAATTTATTTGATACAAAAATTTGAAGTCACATATTAGTGAAGTCCTAAGGAGAACACTGCATACAGTATACACGGCATACACTATACGCTAAACGCGTATGATTGAAAGCAAAGCCAAAAGCATTTAATGATGAATAGTACATGGGGTCTAAAGTATGGGTACGCACACAATGAATCTTGAAGATAATCTTGCAAGTGATCCTTACACAGCTCTGAGAAGATAAGGGAAATCTCCTTTAACCTGCTCCAACACAAGAAGACGAAAGTACATCTCATCCTACGTCAAAGATTAACTCCTCTCAACCAACGGAGGAGATTAATCAACCGGAGAAGCCTATAAATATGGGTAGAAGCATGAGTTCTAAACCAAGTTTTTGAGAGCCTTCTAAGTAGAGTAAATCATATTGAGCATTTAAGAGATATCTAGCAAAAGAGAAAGTGTGTGTTTAACTTTACTCTCTGCTTAGACTCATGCTTCACTAAACTTCCAAGTTAGAACTCTTATTGCTATATTCTGGAAGTTTAGTTCTTAGTTGGAGGCTAGAATCTTTGTTAAATCATAAACTGTTGTAAACACTTAGAAGGACAGTGTTATCTAGTCCTAAGTGAATAGAACAGAGTACCTTTTGATCCCCACTGGATCAATTGAGAAAATATAAGGGTTTGAGTAGCTTGGAGTGGCGTGTACTCCTTGTCAAACACCTTCAATCTAGGCTAGTCATGTGGTTAAGGCCAGATTGGCACTAAGTGTATTGGGTTTAATACTTTAGTGGAAATCCATCTGAAAAAGGGTGGGCCTGGACGTAGGAGGATCACACCACCTTTGAACCAGGATATATTATGTGTTGATTTACTTTCAGTCAACAAAGCATACACCAGAAAACTTCTTAAATTAAGCAACTATTTTAGCAGTTACCTCGGCAGTAGTCTACTGCTCACCCTACTACTCACTCCACTGCTCAGCTTACTGCCAGTTTATACTCTTTTCTACAGACATCTCAATATCACAAAAGTCTTCTACACTCTTCAGAAATATCCTAGTACAATCAGAAGTCTCAAAACCATATCCTTCTTCCACAGTAGTCTCAACAGTCCACTGTGATTACTTAACTGCTTAGTCCACTGCGTACCAAACTGCCCAGTCAACTGCCTTTCTAGATAAGCTTAAACCTCATTCAAATGCACTATTTGATTTACTAAGATATCATGAGACTTGTGTGACTGTCCTCTAAACTTCCTTGATTACTTACTTTAAATAAAAAGTTGTTATAAATAGAGGTTAAGACTTCCGCTGTGCATCTTTAATCTCCCAAAAGGTTATAGATCATCATATCTAGTAGGGAAAGTTTTTAAAGTTGAAAAAGCTTTAAAAGTCTATTCACCCCCCAGACTTTTACCTCTATCAGGGAACATCAAGTATTGCACATTTTGTTTTAATATTTCCCAATGCGATTTTTTTATTAATTCCATCCATTTTAAGTGATCATGGACTTAGATCACTTCTCACTTTTCATTTAAAGACCTTGTTGCACACACACACACACACGGAACGGTTCCGGTGAGAAATGACTCACAAGAAAAAACATAAGAAAGATAAAGAAGATAAAGAGGGAAAAAATGATAAGAGATTAATCCGTAACACGAATACTCACCCTTCACTTGACCCTCTCCAAGGTTATGCTCTCATCCGATGCAAGAAGAAGCAAATCAATCCCGACTTCTCTAATCCACGCTAGGTTGGGACTTCTTCATCTCTCCTCTCATCCATGCATCTTCTCCACACGGACTCTCAACCCGTCTAACAATATATCACTTGGTTTTCAACGCACATGATCAAACCACCGTAATCGAGACTCTCACATGATACACACACACACACACACACACACACACACACACACACACACACACACACACACACACACATATATATATATATATGAAAATAATATAGGTTTTTATACGATTGACTCCAAATTAGAGACTGTGAATTTTTTTTAGATTATATTCATAAAATAATTCCATCACCCGTACTATCATCATTAGTTTTGAATGAGGGTTTTGAGAATTGCACGATTTGTAACCCTTGACATTGAAACATACAACCCTTGACGACAAATGTTAACATGAGTCATTGAAAATAATACTATGTTTTATCAACTAAATATGAAACTTTCTTTGATACCGAAATATCTATATGCTTCAATAATTTTCTAGATCAAATAAATATTTGAATTCCAAATTTCTTAATAATCAATGGCCACATTTATTTGAGAAGGAGAACTTATCTCTATGTACTAAATCATTCAATTCATAGATGAAGTTATGTGAGACTAAATTGTGCATTTGGTAAACTGAAAGGTTTGTTATGTGAGATTGAAATTCACATAATAATCAAAATGTGCATAATAATTCAGTTTCACCTATTATTATGATTTATTACTCCTGAAATAACAACAAATGGTATACAATTATTTGTGGCTACACACATATTTCTTCAATAAGAGACCAATATGACAATAACAAACCTTGATATAATGATATTCATTATGATCAATGCATAATAAGTCATTATCAGATATTCACCTTTAAATCCAATAGGATGCCTACCATTAGAAGGCGTTCAGGGAAAATTTTGGCATTAAAACTTTTTATCTTGCACCCATGTATGTGAATCCATGATTACACCCTCCAAGATTGGTGTTGTATATTCCGATTATTATTCTCCTCATTGTTTTTGTCCTCTATGACAGAAGGTGATATAACCCCATTAATTGATTCAATATTGTAAGATCATTTTTGTAGCACCTATTTTCATCTTTTCTTTCATTCTTTATCAAACAAATAATTTTTAATTTTGCCCAATAGAATGTGTTATAATCAAAATAAGTAAAATTTTAGTTATTTTTCTGGTATGAGTTAATATAAAGAAATACATTAACTATTTTCATATAATTTTTATTTATTTCATTCTGCTATTATTTTTCAAATAAAATTATTTTATAATTTAGTAGAATCGGCCAATTCAACTGTTTCTATTAGAACTCACCATTTTAAACAAATTAATTAAATTCAATCAATTTGGATGTTAGCAAATAAATTCTAAACTAAATGGTTTGAAATTAGATTGTTAATTTGTAAAAATAAAATTAGCACTCCTGAATTGGTGAAGGTTGTGTCTTTGTTCAACATGAAGGTGTTTGATGAGTCAAGTTGCCACTATATGATCTTAATTTGCTGTTTGTTTCTGAGTAGCTGCATTAGGCCATCTCTGTGTAGATCTGGGTCAATTAAATACATGTAGCTATATTTTAAATTCAAGTAGTTAAGTGCTAATACCACATACGGAGTATTATAGGTATGAATTTCAAAGGGGGTATCTTAATTTACTGGGTTTTTTATGGATTGATATTTGCTAGTTTAATTCAAACCAAGGTCATCATTTTCAGATTCTGTTGAATGAGCTTGTGCTTTAGAAGTTTGAAAAATATAGTGGTTTAGAAATTAAATTTGTCCAATACTTTTTTATGCTATAGAGTTGTTCCGACTTCTAACCTGATCTCCATAATTGATTTGGAAATTCAAAAATTATCTAATATCTCCCAAAATGTGCTAATTTCATTTGCATATTTGCTTTCATCCTGGCTTACTACTTCCACAACCAAAGCCATCAAATGCATTTTAACATTTTGCTAGCTTGCTTTTATTTCAACTACTTTCCCTTGAGATCCATTGAACAACAGTCATATCAAAGCCAATCAATAGAATGGTTAAAGCCAATCCATTTTGTAAAGTTCTATTACAAAAGTGGCAGAATGTGTTTTTGAACCAAGAGTGAAAACACTATGGGTATCCATATTTTTATTAGTCTTATCTACCATAGGCAATTCCAATCCCATATTCTAAGAAACTTTAATCTAAATTAGTCACATAAATGACTTATTTTTCAAACAAACATCTATCAAATAATGTTTTCATTTCTCTAAGCTATCAAAGACTGATCTACCCCAAAGTTATTTTTAAAACATAAGCCTTACACCCCGAAGAAGATGAATTTAAATAGCAGGTGTTGTGTTCTACTGTGCTATAGTATGTTTTATATTCTATGATT